CAAAACTGAATTAGAGATATCTGCAACACATATCCAGTCTAGCTGTTAAATGTTAAAACGGCTTGCCATACAGCTGGACCCTTCTCAAAAAAATAAGCAAGACCTTGACTGTCTAGTGAAGCATCACTGCAGCTGCAGACGCACAGCTCATGCAAAGTTCAAAATACATTGAAACCTCTTCACATCAGGAAACATCTACTGTTAAAGGAATCAAACATTTTTCAAACTGATACTTCTGGGATAACTCAAAGGTCCAGTCTGTAGGATTTACTTTCAGCCTCCCTTTCCAAGTGCGAGGGAGAACCTAGTGGCTGCGAAATGTGAAAAACGGCTCTTTCTAGAGCTAGGGTTTGATTTGTCCGTTCCTATATACTTGGTATACTGACAATAGATCATATTGATAGTTACACACTAGACCTTTAAGCTTCAAAGACTAATGTCAATCTGTTGATGTGTCTGTTACTATAAAAAGTGACAATGCTGAACTGGTAAAGCAGTCCTTACCGTAGCAGCCCGGGTTGGATTCCAACTTGCAGCACTTTGTGCATGTTGTCCCCCCTCTCTCTGTCCCTCCTTTCCTGTCTATCTTCACCTATCCTATCAAAATAAAAGGCATAAAAGCCCCAAAAATATATTTATAGTTACAATTTATAGCAGAGGTTAAAAAGAGTCATATTATTAATATACATCCTTCTTTCCACTTTCCAGGTGTCCACAGGATTGTTATTCCGAATGAGACAAAGGTATTTTATCAACATGATAACCATTATATCCACTTTACCCTAACTGTACCAGTACTTACAATGTAATTTTGTGTCTGCACTCCAGAAGTACTTCATTGTAATGCAGAGTGTGTTTTACCCTGATGAGAGGATCAATATTAGGTACGGAATCTATGTTTTCCCCATGTTTAGTTGTGTAGATTTCTGATATAGTTTATGGTGGTATGAAAGCTGTGATGTCTCTGTCGCACAGATTCGACATTAAAGGCTGTGAGGTGGGCAGATGGACCAACCCTGACACCGATGGGAAACAAATTATAAAAGTGCTGAAGGACAATAACTTCAAAGGGCAGCACATTGCATTAGGTAAGCCTCTTCTCCTCAGCACTTACTTCAAGGTTCCTCTATTTGTGCCCATAGGTAGATTTGGTTTGCTTAAAAGACAAGACGTTCCTCTTGACAAAAATATAAAAACAAAAGAACTCAGACAATAGGGAAGCATGATACAAACATGACACAAACATGACACAAACATGATAAATGATAAAGCTAAAAGTGCTCCAGGCTCTAAAAATCAGGACTTACACAAAGAGATCAATTAATAAAACACTAAAATATAATAAGGTAAAAAAGGTAAATGCAGGTAAAAATAAGAAAAAATGTGTGCCATGTTACTACAACTCTGCTGTAACTGTCTGCTGTACAGTGATTCTGGGTTAAACTGTGACTCACCAATCAGCCTCCTAGACCATTTAACAATTTGATTGGGGCAGTTTCTGCTCTTTGGAGAAAGGTTTCCAAACCAAAGACAAAGATCAAATTGATTCAATAAGAGCACAATAAAGCAAGGTCATCATGGTTTTGTCAATGTGGATAACACTACTTATTTCTGTAGTCAAACGACTGACGCTGTTGAGCAATGCAAGTTCATTGTTTCAGCAGAAACATACTAAATGGAAAGGTTTGTGTGGTTGCTGCAGATCAAGAGAAATCCTGGTTTGCCCATCAAGTGAAAATGGATGCTGCCTTCCTTCAAGAGCTCAACGTGCTGGACTACAGTCTCCTGCTGGCACATCAACCTCTGCACCAAGATGAGCTCGACGGGAAACATTCCTTGGCAAACCTTGTAATGCGCACCACAAAGTAGGTTTCATATAGCTTTTAGCAAGAGCAAAACCAACTGCTGTGCAAATATGAACTCTAGAAAGAAGCAACCTTGAACACCCCTGTGACTCGTTCCTATGGGTTCTTTTCTGTCTTTCCCATAGGTCTCTGGACTTGGATGACAGTCCCACAGGGTCAGACCCCCCCACCATTCCATTACTGGAAGGGACCACGGGTGAGGTGGAACCAGATACTTCAGACTGTGGGTCGGGCAAGCCACAGGCAGCAGCTGAGGGCTCAGGTGAAGGGATCCCCCTCCAAGAGATAAACTGCCGTGCAAAAGATACCAGGACTGACTCAGAACTGCAGGAATTCCACGAGCATCATCGTAGGCTACTGCCCAACTGCAAAAACGCTATCCATGTCATAGACGGGCCAGAGCGTCGCTACTTTGTGGGAATTATAGACATTTTCACCGTCTACGGTTGGAAGAAAAGACTGGAGAACCTGTGGAAAAGCCTCCACTTCCCAGGCAGGGCCTTTTCCACCGTCAACCCTGCCAAATATTCACACAGGTTCGGTCAGTGGATACAGGACCACACTCAGTGACAAAAAACATTCATCCCAGTGTCTACCAGATGGGGCTGTGTTACCAGAGATCTGCTGTCATACTAGGTGTGTTTTTGCAGGAGCAGCTTTTGAATGTATAAAATAACCGACATCTATTGATAGTGGACATAAGTTGCATTTGATTTGTTATGGACTCTTCACATACATATAGGAAAAACAGTTTTGCTTCCTTGTGTCTGTCAACCGCCTGCTCATATACTGTACATACAAAATAGAGTTACCGTCTCATCAAAACAAGTTCAGTACATCACCAAAGAATCCAAATGCTGCTGTGAATGTGTCTGCTGTGGAGCAGACTCTGCTTGAAGATTTTTGTCATATTAACTGAAACTTTCACTGTATCCTGAAAGCAGAATGTTCAGTGGACATGTGAACCCCGGTGATGGAGCAGTGGTTCAATCAGAGCATGACACAGCTGCATCCAGACACATGGGTGGGAATGTAGCCAGGGGTGCCAAGGTACTGTAATAATGAGGCAAGGGTTAGGGTTAGATTTAGATTTCACTGGTGAGAGTAATATTTTACAGTTTATAGCTCAAGAAAGTTTTTTGTTAGAAAGAACAGGTGGAAAAGTTCTATCCTTTTTTAAAAATTGTATCTGCTCAAACAAAGTAGGATCATGGTAAAAAAAAAAAACTCTATGTAGACTGAACGCGCTTTGCTGCATGTTGTTGCCCCTCTCTCACCCCCGTCTCTCTCCCCGCTTTCCTATCTATCCTCACCTGTCCGATCAAAAAATAAAAGCCTAAAAAGCCCCCCCAAAAATACATTAAAAAAAGGTTAGATTAAAAAAAGGTCAACAGAGTGTGTGTGTGTGTGTGTTGCTGAGAGAGACAAAGACCAGGAGTTTGTGAGTTAGGTAGAGAATAAAAAGAAATTAGTCTATTAGAAAAAAGGCCACAGTTTTTATTTTTTGTAATATTCAAATATTTTTTAATAAATGAGTGTATGTTGAAGTATATGAGATGTTTTGTTTTTCACTGTGGTATCCAATTGGGAATCAAAAATCATGGAATGTCACTAATATTGGTATCGACTACTAAAATTCTTGTATTGGGACACACCTACTACAAAGGGAAGAATAACTGCAGTTAAAAGGGAGGCCATAGATTGTATAGAGCTGATCCATACACAGCCATTATTCAGTCTGTTGTCTGCACATTGGATCGGCCACCCAGCAGGACAGGAACAGACTACAGTGGACAGTCAGGACTGCAGAAAGGATCATTGGTGCCAATCTACCCTCCATTCAGGACTTATATCCAGAGTGAGGAAACATCACTGCAGATCCAGCTCACCCTGGACACAACCTGTTCCAACTCCTCCCCTCTGGTGGGCGCTAGAGAGCACTGTGCACCAAAACAAACAGGCACAGGAACAGTCTCTACCCATAGGCCATCACTCTGATGAACAGTTAACTCCAGACACACAGGGTATAAAGAATTTAAAAGCAAAAACCCTGTGACTCCTCTGTACCTGTAAATTATTTATTTTCATGGCTGAACACTGAAGTTTTCTTTTGAAAGCACTTATAATCACTAAAAACATACTACCTATGTTTATATTGTATATACTCATGTCCACATACCTCATGTAGGCTACATAAAAATACCTGCACAAAAACATCTATTCCAGCATCCTTTGCGCTCTGCTCCACTGCACCAAAGTCTTACTGTAAACAAATGTTATTGTTGTTTATGTTATGTGTGTATAGTAGTCTATTTTGTTCATCTCATTGTCCTGTTTATTTATGATTATTCTGTGTATGTACACTGAGAGCAGTGTAAAACTGGAGTCAGATTCCTTGTATATGTAGGGTGAATTAATGGTGATTTATAGGGTTCATTTTCTCTCCTGGTGAGTAAAATAAAAATGTCATCAATACAAACATTTTTGGAATTGGGTTAATTTATTTTGTCCCACAGTTTGGTTGAATGGGACAGCATGATTTTGGGAGATTGGAACAGTGCTAAAAGGCTTTGCTAATGTTGAAAAGGATCAACCTTGCAATATAGAAGCATTTTGTATGCTCCTTGTGCTCTTTAGTGATATAGTGATTCCTAACCCAAATCTATTTTTAAAAACTGGGTAGGTAAAGGCATAAAAACATTTTATTCAATAACAAATGAGACAATTATTTCCAGACTTTAAAAGAGGAATATGCTGTGGAAAAGCTCTACATTTAAATGTATAAATTGTGTAATTATTATTATTTTTCTAATATATATTTTTGGGGGCTTTTTGCCTTTATAAGATAGGACAGTTGAAGATAGACAGGAAAACAAGAGAGAGAAGGGGCGACATGCAGCAAAGGGCCACAGGTTGATTTCAAATCCATGGCTGCTGCTCCTGAGGCACGTTCATCCTCTGCTGGGCCTTTGTGATGATGGTGTCTATGTTGGATGTTATTTCCTCTTCCTTCCTAATGTATGGATTTGAAGACTCAAGCTTGCCCTCGTTAGCTGACTGTGTCCATGATCCACAGTCTTTCATGAGCAACAATCCCCTCCTATACATTTGGAAAAGAAAAACACACTATATTAGGAAAGGAGTCATGGTTAAAGAGTATGAGGAAGGAAGGCTAAAAGCCATTGATATTGACTGTATTAATGGTACTATTAAAATAAACTGGTTAAGATTCTTTTTGAAAAATGAAAAAAGCACATATTTACAAAACTTGAAGGTATGAACTTCCTTCTTAGATGTGATAGAAAAAAGATAGGAAAAAAAGAAAATGATCTACAAGCATAACTTTAGTCCCAATAACACCACATTGTGTGTTGCAGATATGTAACCTTTAGGAAATAATCCTTATTTTTCAAAAGCTGGTCAGAGAAAGAATACATGGTCTGTAATACACTTACTGGAAAATACTGGAAGCATTGTCCCTTATGAGCTCTTTTGATCCAAGTTTAAATGAAATTCCCGGGAACAGTATGATATTGTGGTCAAGGCAATCCCACAGTCTGTAATTACAATGTCTTATAACTTGTGTTTAATTGATGTAAATCCAGATCTTCCTGATTAATGGAAATGCTCTCACTCTAAAATCTCTCAACACCACGGAAGGCTTATGTCAAGGAATTATATCCATTTTCATCAATCAGAAACAGAAATTCAACCACGTTTCCCAAGGTGAAGCTAATGAAATTAAGAAGTAACTTTAACATTCTCAATAAAATATGTCCCTCTGGAGAATTTTTAAGATGTCGATTTGGTCAGGAACAGTTTGTTTTACGATAAACACACTGAAACAACAGAATGTTTATTTTATGAATGTACATTTGCTACGATCTGCATTACTGGTTGCTTCCTAAATTTGACAATTTCCCTGATTTAACTAAAAAGAAAATGTGATTGTTGGTATGTTTATGAAAGATGGGATATATGACTTAGCAATTAACAATTATTGTTCTTGGTAAATTCTTTTAACATAAGAAGTGTTTCCGGAGAACTCAAATGTTGGATGTCCACTTTAGGTCTTGGGAGTTTGCGGATCCCAGAAACCTGAAGGCTTCCACAAATGAAGACCTTCAGTAGTTTTCTTCTTCCTGCGCAGCAGGGGGCGACAATGTGCGTATACGGTGTAACCGTAAGAAGAAGACGTTGCTTCCTCGGTGTTGGTTAGTTATCAGTGAACTGTGGAAGGAAACATGGATGTGAACCAAACGTCATACTGCACTGTGCTGGATAAGAAGAGCCAGGCGAAATTTATTTGCTATACACGAAGAAAAAACGGAACATTTATTGTTTGGTGAGTCGACTACGTCACAAACGAACCTCAATGGTGTTTCCACTGAACCGACAGAACCGTTTCATTCCGGTGCTCGTCAGGAACTTTTTGTGTGAGCTAAAACAGAAAGCCAGACGTGCACTGAATTATTGGAAGCCTCTTACCACCATGGCGCACACATACTGCACAAAGAAGCGTAAAAAATCACATCATGTAGTTAAAGTCCTCACCAAGGTAGGTAACGTTAGGTTTCACCGCGATATTGACGGCCAGTGGGAGTTGAACAGGTTCAATGGATCTCAGAGGGGCTTTCTTTATATACAGACTGTACGCCTAAAGACAACAGTGCCTCCTCTCTGCTCTCACAGCGGTGCACTGCTGCTCGTAAGCTAGGAAACATAATACTAGCGATTGTTTAAATGCAGTTCGGACCAATTCTCTCCTCCAGAGGGCGTGCCAAGTAGGACCGGGGGGGCATAAAAACAAAAGTACAGGGAGAGGCTATTAAAGTTCACTTCACTAAAACTGTGAATAAAAGATTTTATTTAACTGAAACATGTTTTTGTTCATGTGCTGTAGTTTGACAGATGCCGCTGCTGTTTGGAGCACAGAGTACACAGAGGACGCGCTGAACCAGTTTGTAAGTTTGACCCTTAGGATTTTCACCAGTGAAGGTGCTGACTTTGTTCCTGCTGTGGCATTGTTTGTAACTGTACCTGTTTGTTTAGAGACAGATGTTTGCCTTGAAATCTACAGAGGATTATATCCTAAAACTCAGGTGAGATTACACATTATTTCAAACAAGGTGCTAGAATGTGGTAGTGCCAGTGAAGCTGCACAGCCAGCAGCAGAACATCCTTTATACAGACCAGCTCTACATGTCAGAGTGTCAGAGTGTGATCATGAAACCATCCTGGGGTGACTGAGGCTGAATATGTCTCGCCCTCAGGTCAGCCTGTGGTAGTGGGGACGTGTCTGTTGTGGTGCATGACACCAGTGCAGAGCTCCATGTGGGCTCCGGTCCAGGTGACCTGAGTGTGAGCCTATCCAGGCTGGAGGGCCTGCGGGCCACAGCGGAGCTGAAGGAGCTGCTATTCAGGATGGCTGACAGCCTCGCTCAGCCTGACAGTAAATGTACGTTTTTCTTTTGACTCACTCATTGTGTTATAAAAGCTTGTAACTCACTGTCACTTTGGAATCAATGCTGACTGCGTTTTGTCGCTCCTCCCCAGGTGGATCCCCCTCTGTCAGTCCAGTGAAAAATCACCAAAGGCGGCCCTCAGGTATGCTCCTAAAGCTGTATTCCAAAGGGTGTCATTTTCCCTGAGGGGGTGGGCATTGTTTTGTGACACAAATGACCCATGGTAAATTTCAAAGACCTTCAAAGATTTTAAAATATACAACATTTAATTTAAAGCAACATTATGTAACGTTTCTACCTCAAAATAACAGCTTCAAAATCATTTTGTATCCAGAAATGAAATAAAGAATTAGCTGGGTATTGTTAGACGCATGAGAGCCAAACTCATGATGTGTTATGTGCTAGATTGACAGGAATGTATATAAATGCAGCATTATGTAATAAGTACATATTATATACATTCAACGGGTTAAAGTTCCTCCTTGACCTTGGGAGCAATTGTTTGAGAAAATAATTGAAGTCAAGGTCCACTTCAACCCAATCTCGCAGTCTTCATCATCAGTAATGGGGTGGCTGTATTGTGATCGTGTGCCAGTGTACTGATCAAACAAAATAAGGAAACACGTATATTTACCTGTGACACTCTAAGTGAACTGTCGATGGTGCTAATGGCGGTTCAGTTCACCAGCTGATGTTTTTCCTCAGAGTTTGAGCCCCGACAGCAGCAAAATTGTGCTCCATCATTGATGGCGAAGAAACGACTTGCAGGGACTTCACTCATCAACCCAGGATCTAAGAAGTACAGTGTGTCTCTGATAAACCTCTCAGCAGTACCTACATCGCTCTGATCTCAATGTAAACCAACAGCTGTTTTCGCAGGAAGCTGCGGGCGACCGGCGTGGCCTTTGATGACGCAGACGAAGACTGATCCTTCAGACGACAAAAACATTTCTCCTCCAAGTGCTCACACTGCTCCTGCAACAATGAATGTTCTAGGAATCCACTAACGCAACATTATGAAATGTATGCATATTATTTAAATCACAGCTCGTGTGGTACAGTAACACATTGTTTTAACCACAATGAAAACTTTAACAATGATTTTTAATACTGTTTTAATATCTGTCACTGTGATGAATGTCCTATTCTCAGGCCTCCCTCGTAAATGATGTAACTTTTATGATATTGGGTTTATCCGGAAATTAAATAAAGAATAAGTTGCAACAAATTAGTTCTGAATGTGTTAGAATGTATTTAGAACAAATTATTCAGCATCTTTACACAAACAAAGATTAAAGAAGCCAAACTACATATGGGCATGTGAGTATTGTAACGTTACAACCATACATATATACACATCCTGCTTGTAGTTACACGTGTTAAAGCTGCACCAGATAATATTTATGAAAATAACTCATATTTTCCTGACAGTACAACATGAGAAAAATCTGTGAAAAACAGCATCGATATTTGACACCCTGGGAATGAGACTCAACTAGTTTTCTTGGTTCTGATTGGTTGTTTTCATCCAGGCCTGGTGGATTCTTGTTAATTCCATTAGGAGCATTAGGAGGAGCCAGATTATCTGTCTCATGTATACTGTCAGGATACAGTGAAAGTTTTAGAAAATATTAGTTATTTTTATAAAAGGATAGGTTCTTTTGTACTCTGGTCCTCTCGTTCATCTGGCCCCAAAGACCTCCCTTCTTACAAGTGATTCCAATGCATGTGAAAGCCACAGCCTTAGTTGTGTGTGAATACATATTCTTAAGTTTAGCCAAGGCTCAATATGAGGTTCCAGCAGTCGGAGCAATCAATTATCTTCCAAAGCTACAGTCTTGTAAGTGTATTTTCTTGCTGAGCCATGGCAGAGGTATAGACACAAACATGTCATTTTATATAAAGATGGGTCTTTATTAAAAAGACTACTAAAGATACCAACTTATGTTTTTAAGTCCTGTTGCTCTTACTCTGACTGCCGAAGTCTCATATTAGCTCTGGCTGAACTTTATAATTATCATATATTACAAATTATATAAATGATTTACACACCTCTAACATTAAAATTCCTTTAAGGCGGGATTGTGGCCAGAATGAACAAGAAAAGAATTACAGTGAACAAAAACCTCATTAAATGTACATAGGGAATACACAAAAAATCTGAACTTAGTCGAGCACAGAGAAACTTGAATGACCTAGACTCTTTGTCTCTGTGCATGTGAAGCTCAAACATCCATGTGAAGTAATAATAAGCAAAACACATTTTAAAGGAGGTTGACTGTTACTCTTTCTCACTCAAAGCAAACTAAAAGCAAAAGCATCCAACGCAACACGCTGTGAGTTCAGAAATAACAGTTTAATCATACGTGAGCTTCAAGGCGAATGTCAGATGTTTTTTAAAAACGAAACTGTGATGATGCTTTACATCCACTCAAAAATCCATATTAAATATAGAGTAAAGTTAAAAAATATCTTTTTTTAAAGTGCTAATGATTGCACCAAACTCCAGTGGCTGCTGGTGACACGAGTATCCTCTTTAGTGTCTGACTCCATAATGTTTGTTTCTAGAGATGGGAAGATATCGGAATAAAATAACACTCCACAAGTTTACTGTTATTATTAAGATAATTGTGAATTGGGATAATTGTGAATGTCCGCATGAGTGACTTCAAAAAGTTGTCCATCTAACACACAGTCCTATATTGATTTATTTTTAATTGCCACTACAGGGAGCCTGCATCTTGCGTATTCTATCCTCCACAAAAACGATAAACCAGATGTGTGGAAATTAGGGCTGCCCCCTAATAGTCGACTAAACCATTATAGCCAACGTTGGGTAGTTTCAGAAAAAACCCTGTCAAACTGTTCGGGAGCTGCGCCATGTCACTGGGCCGAAAGTATCAGAAAATTGTTACATCACAGGCCTTTTCTCTTGTAACACAGGAAGTGTCTTCGAGGTGCACTGCTGCATGTGCTTACTGTACTAGTTGCTATTATCTGACTCGACCAGGACTGGCAGCTTGAAGGGTGGGTGGAGGTCTGTTTGCAATACTAGCATAGGAGCTTTGAGGGAGGAACTAGTGGGAAATAAGCACCAGAACCGGAGCTGGGCGAATGGGTAACAGAACTGGGTTCACATAGTCTGCACTGACGGAGGCCAGGTCCAGCAGCTCCAACCAGGACTCTGACTCAGGGAAAGGCGGGTTAAGGCGGGGACAGCAGAGGCATGAAACAGAAGAAGAGGAGCAAGTTCATTTGTAAGTAAATGTAAATAGTCAATTAGGAAAATGTGTATTTGGGGGCAGCCCTTGTGGATATACTCTGGATTATTTCCACCAAAGTTATACAAGCCCCCCCTGCAGTGGCTCTATGCACCACTGTTTTAACAAGATGTTTCATGCTTTAAAAGAAACGTAAATGTTAACAAAAATTAGCCTTGTTTGCGTTGTTTGTTTTTGACTGAATTTTATAATAGAACTACCTCTACCTATTTCGTCAACCCTCCAGCTTTACATTCTCAGAGAACAGAGGAGAAGAAATTACAACAGTCAGTTTTTCTCGTTTAATGATAACCCCTTCAAGTAGGAAAACAGCCCACCAGTGCCATAATAATCACCAAAAATATGACTGCAATTAGCTGTGAAAGAAGTAGTGAAACAGTAATTATCTTGACAGGACACGTTACAACTCAATTATCACAAAACTGAGAGAGACCACTTAAAACCACATGCCAACGCACAGTCAGATAAACATCCATGTTTTTGTAAATGTGGATATTGTGCACATTTCCAAACTCCATTAAAATGACAACATCGTCTGCAAATCATAAAACGTGTGCTGTACCCAAGTTAAACAAGAGATTATTCTGATCTGAGAGTTCCCTTTAGTATCACAGTGATGGTAGTGCAGTTATTGTCAGGGAATATGAGCCGAGTTCACTTCAGTTGCAGACTGTTACAATGCTGATTACCTTCATTGGATGGAGTTATTAATATTATTAATATTATTATACACTGTGTCCGGTTTATAGAGGATCTTCTTGGCAGAGTCCACAACATAATGATATGTTAAAAGCATAAAAGAGAGCATTCAGTAGAAAGTGTACAGTGTCAAAACAAGTTGATAGAAGGGAGGCACCATCAGGACAATAACCATGCCATGTACATTTGTCGAGTCTCTGACATCAAGTTCAAAGAAAAGGCCAACAGCTCGCACACGCATCTGCACCCAGTAATTTCTCTAAATCATTTGTTATTGCAAAATAAATCACACACGTTCGTAGCTGCTTCGATATCCAAAATAAATCATTCTTCTTGCCACAGAAAAATATACTGTATTACATTATCACTGGGAGTCGACTTCATCACAACATGCTCTCAAGGCAGGTCTAGTTTGGTACAGCAACGAGGGCCCGCTCTAGGTTACATGAAGCCCCTTTGGCAGGGAGCGCGTACAACCAAATCAAAATTACCCCGTGGTTTAAAACGCTTGGTTTTTCACATATCACCAATGATATGTTCATTCGCTAACAAAGGCAGCTAACCTACAGTACCCATCAGCCATCTAGTGAGATACATTCTCAAAACATATAAATAAATATGGAAACATTCCAGGACAAAGTCTTCAATCCAAATGCAAGCACTGCTGCGGTGTCTTTACCTGCATCACAGGCTCTGCAGGCCATCACCTGTGTCTGTATGGTGTCCCCTAACCCACCTCAGTCCCCTCCTGGGATGAAGAATTTGAGGCTGAAATACTGAACTACTGGTCCTATGTTCCATGGTGCAGAGAGTTTTGGTCCTCTTCAGGGTTAAATCAGCAGCTCTGTTCTCCCCCTCCAGGCCTCAGAGCTCAGACAGACGGGTCTGGGTTTTCCCCCTCTGTCACTCTCATTATCTCTGCTCTGTGAGTGGCTCAATTCAACAGAGGGTGTCTGTGTTGAAGGAGAGCTGCACCTGCCAAAAACACACACACACACACACATACACAGGTTATCTGTGAGATGATTCTGATAGGGAAAGGTGTGAAGACAGTATATAATTTCTTCTTTGGCTCTGGAGGAGCTTTGTAGTTTTGTTTTTTTATCACCAAATGCTGACTTTTATGGTCCTTTTTATAGATAATATCATCCCTTTGACTACAGAAAGACAGGGGCTAATAACACTGGAAAAATAGTGACTCAGGAAAACACAGTTTAATGCCTTTTTTATTTTTTGTTTCAATACTGAGTGGCTGCTGCACCTAAATCCCAGTGTACTTCTTCTGTTGCTCATGTGTACTACAAAATGAAAACTGTTAGAATAAATTAAAATTTACTCACCCTTTCCTCTTCAAAGCTGATGAGTCCTTCATCATCGTCGCTCTCCAGCTCCTCAGGCGCCTCGCTGATCAGAGCACTGAGCTCCGTGTTCGCCGGCCGAGACTTCAGCAGGTTGAGGATGCGCTGCAGGGGGGACTGTCCGCCACCCGGGGGCGACGCCTCCTGCTGCTCCAGGTTGTCACTCTGCTTCTTTGCAAAGTTGACAAACACCTGGGCAGAAAAAGGAAGTGATTTAATAAATGAACTCCCCTTTTCCTTGCTGATGTGCTGCATGTGCTGTGTCACACATGGACTCACATTGTCCAGAGTGGTCTGACTGACAGAGTAGTCCTCGATGCCCAGCACCTCCACCACCTGCTCCATCTTACTGAAGACCTGAGCCAGGGAGATCCGCTCAGACTTCAACTGGTACTGGACCTTGGTGTGGTGACGCTCCTGAAAATATGACAACAGATGTTTTTTTATGTTATGCTATGTTGTCATGTTTATTATAATATTAAACGACATATACTGAACCTCAGTCTGCTCTGTTCAGGACTTGTGCTGGGATTTAAACAAATGGAAGCTGTATTTAAACAAGCTATACGAATAGTAATTATTTTTGTAGTATTAACATTATTCAATTATTATTAAACTTAGCTACTTTTTATCTTTTAAGTAGGCCTAACAGCTGATCTATGTCTACACTGTTGTTGTATGTGGTCATGTGACCTCTTACATGGCCTTTGCATAATATATTTCACACATAGTTCCCAATAAACTACTGGGATAACCTTTTAATCTTGTGGTGGGAAATTGGAGGTACAGACTTCCCTGAATATTGATCCCTGGTCCCAATCACGTGCATGTGTGAAAGGGGTTCATGACTTGTATAGCTGTCCTGTCTTGCTGTGGAAATATAATAATATGAACTTATCAAAGCCTTTTATACCATCTATTCTCTCCCAGCATTTTGTGGTATTGAGACCAGTGCTATGAGGTATGAATAGAATTTGGTGATTTGGCCAATTTGTTACCCCTCTAAATCAGGGGTCCCCAACCTTTTTCCAGAAGGGAGCCCTTTTCTATGATTGAGTAAACTGGCGACCCTTAAGTGACATATTTAATGGAGTTGTAAAATGAGTGATTTGGATGAATTTTGAGCAGATTATTTCCTGTGAATATTGATTGTTGATTTTTTCTGATCTTTTGAGGAACTTTTTATACAATTCTCTATCTGTATTGTGTAATTTTTTAATTAATCAAACATATATATTTGACAGATTCAGTGTTTTCTTCTCATTGTTCTATTAGCTCTTTGGTTGTTTCTAATGCAGGACGAGGCTGTGAGGTCTGAATTTAGAAGTTCATGAATTATCCTTGTGTTGTGTGGAGGATGTAAAGGATCGTCCTCACATCACTAGAAAATTAGTGACCATGAGTGGCTTGAATAATTTTTCACTTTAACACTGTTAATAAATAGTCCTCAATATTTGTAAATTGAAACTTCTGGATCCTCCCTGGATGTTGTTAGTGGGTGGAAAAATTGCATTCAGGTACAAGGATCTGGTGAACATTATGCGAAAACGTATATTATGTTGTGTTATTCCATGTTTATTTTTACAATGCAAACAGTACAGTATTTTATGTTCATCTTCATGCATTTCACACTTGGCTGTGCGTCACCAAAGTTAAGGGGAGGAATTGGTGTATTTCATTGGTGCCATGAGGCTAATGTACATTCCAAAGAGCCAAAGGCTCGGGGAAAGGTTTGCGCCTGTCAGATTGGTTAGACTACCTGTTTATTAGACAATTTAGACCGTCACCAATAGATCATCCTTTGGTGCAAGGAGGCTACATTCTTTGGGAAAGAGGCATATAATAGAGTGATTTTTTTGTTCAAATCAGTTGATTCTCAAGACAATCTCAAGTGATTTTTTTGTTCAAGTCAGTTGATTCTCAAGACAACTCGGTTTGTACCACCATTCTGGGTACCTTCAGTGGGAGATTGTGGTCTCCACTATAGTCAGATAGCTGAAAGTTTAAGTCAGATAGACATCAATTGAGGTACATTGAGGCAAGAAAAATTAAACTACAACAATGTTCAGTCAAATCACTGTTTCTTAATGTCTTGCCATTATCGAAGGAAAAATCTTTACACATTTAATTCCCTGTACTCATAAAGTGAATACATGTTATGGATAGTGCTTCCTTCCCAATCAAATTTCTGATCTGATGTATCTTAAGACTTTACGGAATACAAGAACTTCCTCTATCAATTTTCTTTTTTCTGCTGCGCACTAATTTGTGTATTACTGGTACAAAGGACAGAGGCCGCTACAGTACCGTACCTTCAGCACGGCCTCAGGGAAGTTTCTGTTGAAGAATCGAACCACCTCCTTCACATTGGAGCTGTTCTTGGTCCTCACTGTGATCATGTAGCCATCCCCAAACCTGGAACATGATTGCCAAAGTTCTCTTTTATATACATATGATGATAGTAGCTGGTAAAATTAACCAGAAAATGACCATTAGCAGTTAATACCAAAGTCTGTTCAAAATGTTACACATTAGATCACATCTATAAACCACAGGAGGAAAAATGAAGGTGGATCTTTATCCTCCTCACCTGTTCTTGAGGTGTTGGATGCTGCCCAAGCATTTAAACCTGCCATTCACCATAATGCCCAGTCTGGTGCACAGAGCCTCACACTCCTCCATGCTGCAGACCACAGCATAAAATAATATTAATAATTATAATATATTAAGTACACGGACGTGTAAAAAAGGGAAAATAAGCCACGACAGTGAAACATGAGTTGTCTCACCTGTGTGACGTCAGCACTACAGAGCGTCCAGTCTTGATTATGTCCAGGATTAAATTCCAGAGGAATCTGCGCGCCTTTGGGTCCATCCCAGTGGTGGGCTCATCCTGAAAAAACCCCACAGAATACAGTTAAGAAGCTCATAGGTGGCTGGAAATTATACTGTATTTACAGTTTGCTCTCTGTTTCCTGGGGAGAACATGAGAGCTAATAACTAATGAACTCCCTGCCTGGGCGTCACACCTGTTGTGTCCATGATTAAAGACTTATTACACCATGAAGATGTCATTTCTCCCATTAAAAAGTAAAGAAGTAGGACAGCACTTCCATTCAACTTTTTTAAGTTTGGGGCTTCCTCAGTATGTATTGGCAAGTTCACAATGGATCTAGACAGGGGGAATTAATTATAATATATAGGTTACCCCAACTGGCACTACAAGTACTTTCCAACAAGGGGAGCTACAAGCAAATGCACAGAGTCACATGATATCCAAGACATGTAAACAACAACTCACATTATATATACACACAACACCAATACTTGATAAAAAACAAACAAATTAAATCTCCTTATTCATTCTATTAGGAATAAAGGTATCAAGAAAGGGTACAAAAAGTAGTTCTGGAGTTTTTAGAGCAGAAATATCAGTTGCATAATCTGGTTTCACAGAATTCAAATCAAGCTAATTTATTTTATAAAAGAATAGGCTAGTTAACACGTATAAAATGCCATTATAACCTTTTTTGACATAAAATATACACATATTTTCTTGCCTGTAATCACAGCACATTACTCAGAATTAGCATGAACACCACATTTGTTTAAAATAACAAAATAGCATAGTAATCATTATGTTATTGTGAAATATAATAATCAACAGATCAGTTCCCTCAGTGGTGCCAGTGGATGTCTGGCCTATGGCACCAGGAACCCCCCTGATCCCATGCTTAGTGTCATCCTGATTGAGTGACTGGAACTCACTGTTTACAAGCTAAAGTACATCATCAGTAGACAGACTGCAGCCGGTCCACAATGCTGCAGCAAGGCTCCTACGCACATCCAACCACTTTCAACCTCCGATTCTTCAGTCAGGTCTTTCTGGCCTTTTGCAGAGGGCTTGCA